TTAATATATTTTTTCGTACATAATCGGTTATCCGAACAACCCCATTCCCCAATCGATTCGGATAAACGACGCTCTACTGTATTTGGTTCGCATCTGTGAACAATTTAACACACGAGATTATGGATCTGAATATTTCATAACCATGGAATTTTACTTCTGAATTGCCCGATACATGCAAATACATTTCTTTCTAATAACGTTTGATATAATAACTCATTAATTAATATATTTTGCCTAATTCTTCTAATTTAAGGTATTCTAACATGTCATTTAATGGTTGCACCGTAATAACATACAAGGATACCGAATTATAATACAGTTTACGGGCGGAAAAAGTAAAGCGCATACAACCAACATAAACGTAAACAAACATCTATCACCTTTTCGGAGAAACTCCGAGCGCTCTGTATTGGAAGTGATGCTTCCCAATAGCCATTTTTTAATAACTATTTCATTTTTACATACTAAAGTATAAACCGAAAAAATTCTCGTCTGTAATGGGGGCTAGAAATGTTTATTTTTGTTTAAAAGTATTGAAGAAATTTATCCAAAAATCCTTATATTGTCTTAATTAAGAAACTCATCTTTTAATTATCGTTTAATCTTAAATTTTAAAATCAAATTTACATTCAAACGCTGGCATACCGAGATATCGTCGGGTTCGTGCCTCGCCTCACCAAAGTGTTCGAAACGTGGAATTTTCCGGGTTTTCTTCATGTGTCTAACACCTAAATAGGGTTCATTTTCTCATAGAAACTTCTCCCGGTAGATCCCCCCATATTGCATTGCTTCATTTCATCAAGCAAACAAGTATTTTCTTGTCGCTCGAAATTTCAAGTTATTCTCTAATGGCTGTATTAACCAACAAAGAGTTGAGAGTCAAAGTTGAAGTTAATTAACCAGTCAGAACTCACGCACTTAAAGTAAAAGGAATGCTGATTGGTTGACTTCGACTCTCAACTTTTTGCTGGCAAATACAATCTTATGATTAAGAATTCAAACTACGATTATTTGTATTGTTTGATATCCTAAACTTTATGTTCTGATAAAATTAGAATTTTACTGAAAATGAAAAATACTTACTAATGCACAATAATATAGTAATTATGATGCAACCTATACATTATTAATATATCATTCTCCTGTACTCTACTATCGTTATCGTCTTGTAATGCATATCATATAATAATTAATATGATATACAGTACACGCCACTTACTCTAATCACACATATATTGTTCTTATTCGGCTAATATTTTTAAAATTATTAATTCGTTAAACATGTAAGATATTTGTAAAATTTTTAATTAAAATTCTGCTATAGTTATTGATAGCTTCATGCAAATAAGCATTTTTAAGTTACATGTGGCTGATAACCAGCAATTTTCAGCTCACTCTTTCGCTTATTAACGCACGAACACATGAAAAGAACTATGTATAAATTATATATAAAGCTTTAATCTCTGATATTTTTTAATTTATGTACTTATTCCTGAGTCTTTTTGAGCACATTTTGTAATAAATAAATAATTTCTCTTGTTGAAAATCTCGATTATAAGTAGTAACACAAATTTTAATTGAAAATGAAATTTTAAGTCTTCCTATAATTTTTAAAATTTATTTTATACGAAATAAATATTAGAACGAATTAGTAAGTGAATGCTCGAACGTATTTTTGAGCATTCACTTATTAATGAAAGATCAGTTAGAATCTTTATTTATAAGAAAAAATGTTATATTTTGTGTTTGATTTTAAAGATGTTTCTATTTATTTTTACTGAAGGAAGATGGAGCCTTTTGCCTGACACTCTATTACTAGTACTTAAATGTCATTGCAGCCTATAAATACATCTTACCCATTTTTTTCCGGTCTCACCAGTAACCGAGTGGATAAAACCACTAAACACATGACACGGGTTTCCATCTCGACAACGAACTGACCACGTGGAATTTTTCGGATTTTCTACACGTCTAACATCTAAATAGAGCTCAGTTTCCCATAGAATGTCTTACCGGGAGGCATCCCCATCTTGGAAGATCGCCCACGTGTTTAGTTACAGTATACCATCAAGACAATGTAATGAAATTAACCGAAGCCGATTTAAATATGCTGTACAAAGTGAACATTTAATGTTTATGGATCATGTGAAATTATTCACATTTTCATTGCCGTTTTGAATTTCAAAGATAAAAGTCTTCAATATATTGATTGAACTATAAAATTATACTAATATGGCATTAATTCTCTTAACATAACTTAACAATAAGATTTCTCTATTTATGTTTTGAAAAATCCTTTCCGTCTTGCAAGAAAAATACGCTAGGAAAAACGCCATAGACTTAATCGATTGTGAAATCTTATATATAAAAGAAGGTTGAAAAAAGCAGAGAGACTAACAGTAAAGTATGTGGATGTGAGGAATTAGTTGCTGTAAACAGATTGCACGATTCAACAGGTCAACAACCAAGAACAAAAGCGGTCTCGCAAGCCAAGTATCGCTAATGAGATTACATCCAGTCTAAACTAAACTATTTTATAAAATATAATAGAAAAATCAATCTAAAAGGATTAAAAACTGAAAATAAAATTAATTATTAAATTATTATTAAAATATATTATTAAAACCTAAAAAACAATAACAGTAGGATGGCCAAGTCGGTTAAGATGGCTTACTGTTCTGAGGGAACCGGCATCAAATAAGGGCGAACTCCACTCTCGGAGTAGTTTTCCCTGATACGTTGGGTCACGTCTCTCACCACTCGGCCACCACTCAGCGATGCCATTTATGCAGAAGAGAGAAACGAGTTCTCTGGTTTGACGATGCACGAATTTTCGTCATCTTAGAAAGTTCAACCTGTTGAACTTTTTTTCGTATTTTTTTCTCCCCTCCAGAGATGCGCACGTACAGTAGTTCGGCAGCCTCGCGCACAACAACAACAGTAAAATGGATACGAAGAAGAACGCGGGAAATCTGTTGAACGTAAAGAAAATGGCCCGAGAAACTACAAAAAGCACAGGGAGGCCACAAATAAAAGAAAGGANCTATAATTTTTAAAATTTATTTTATTTGTGTTAATATTCTCTTAAATATTTCGAAATTTTATTTTCAATTAAAATTTGAAAGACAAATCTTTTGAAAATTTGTCTTTTGTTCTTTTCGAATAGTTTAAAAAACGAATTATTTTTTCTTTAAAATGCCTTATTATAAATTCTTTAAGTCTGTTCATGGAGCTTTTCTAATACCTGAAATGGTAAGACGGATGTTTCATAGTTTTTCATATGATAAGAAAGAAGATTATCAAAGTTCATAGCAGTTTGTCATTGTAAATTTTCGTGATATTTCCATATCATTTCATCAAAAAATTTCCAGTGCTCTAATATTGTTAGATTTAAAGCTTTTCCTGTACTTACGGAAGAATTATTAAGTTTACGACATAGCAATAATACAAATTATACAGCTGATCACTAATATAAACCCCTACCTCTGGCAAACTGGTGTGATGATGATGTTACTGAATCAAATTTGATGATGTCATTAAACCAAACGAAATCAATCATATGTAAACGTTAACTTACAGTAGAAATTTGTTTCGAACAGAGGTGCTGAATATGTCCAATGGCGCAAAGTAGGTTCGGGGGAATATGCGGTATAAAAAGTAATTTACAGCCATAACAGCAGAAACGTTACAATAAAGTGGAGTAGCGGACATTAATTGGGATGGGAAATTCGCCAAAATACGAGTATGGGGTTTTTATTCCAAAACTCTTTTCGATATAATTTAATGGATGAAATTTGGTGGAAAATTTGAAAATTAATAAATCCGAGTTTAAAAACTTTTTCTGAATTGTCTCATTAAGCAGAAATTTTATCATTATTTTATAAACATTATTTTCCTTTATTTTTTCATATTTTTCGTAGATTTATCATAAAAATAAAAAAAATATTAACATCAAAATATATATTAAAACATCATAAAAGTATGGTCGCAATTCGTTTTCAAATAAAAAAATTATAATACAGTAATAAACTTGTTTTATTTCGTACACAATAATTTTCGGAGAAATTTGTGGTCCTGAAAATATATAACGTCCTGATAAATAAATAATCCTGATAACGGGAGGGGTCCTGAAAAGGTCCTGATAAAAGAAATTTGGATTCTGAAAGTCTATAACGTTAATTTCTATTTAATCTCAATAAAATCTTCACATCAGTGTGAGCTTACTCACCTACAACAGCATAGATCATCAAAAATGCACGGTACGTGATCCCTGTATAGGGCTCCCGCTAACAACCTCGGGGCCCGGGTCAATCATGAAATGCGAGGCTCCTTCAAACATGTACATTATATAACTTTTACTACTATTTTATTTTATTGGTACTGTCCCATATAAGCCAAAAATTATTATTATTATTAACAGACGTTTTCTGAGAGCTCGATAAGCGTTGGACTCAGAGCCAATCCAACTTATCTGTTTAGAAAGCATCCAGTTTCTGATAAAGATCCTTTCTGAATGCACTTTTTGGCTTGATGAAGTTGATGCCACAGAGAACTTCTACGCATTATACACGAATGAAACTTTAATACACCCACTGCATCAACTAATCAGTTGTTTTAAAAAAAAGCAGGTAACATTAACACGGAGTGGCAAATTCCGTAAAAATCTATCTATTTCCCAAATCTATGAAAATTCTGTTTTCCAGGCTTTCCATGATCCCTATTTAAAAGTGATTTGGTAGGATAATGAAACGTGGGCGATCTGCCAAGGGTCTCCATCTGAAAGGAGTTTCTATGGGGGGAATGGCCTGTATTTAAGTGTTAGAGACGTAAAGGAAACCTGACTCCACGTGGTTAGTCCGTTGGTCAGGCGCGAACTCACCACCAATTAAGATTGGAGTGATGAGATAAGGCAAACGCAACACTTGGGTGATCTGCCAAGGGGGAAATCCTTCCGGTAGGATCTTCTAAGGGAAACTGGCCTCTATTTAGGAGTTATACGTGAAGAAATCAGGAAAATCGACGTGGCTAGTCGGTTGATGAGGGGCGAACCTGCGAACAACTGTAACGCATATATGGATGGCTGGGTATCTGCGTGCCTAGTCATCCATATATGCGTTACAAGTTGAAATAATACCCTGCATTCTCTTCTGACATTCGTGCTCGTCAATGCAGAGTGGATAAAACAACTAAACTATGATCGGTCGCGTGCTCGCGTCTGACCAAGGGGCTGGCCAGGTAGAGTTTTCAAGATCTCTTCACGTGTATAACACCTGAATAGGGGCCAGTTTTGCATAGAAAGAGAGGCAACGCTCACATGTTGTGTTACAAATCCATCTGCAATTACCAATTTGTATAAAAAAATAATTGTACAAAGTAATAATTCGTTGTATAATTCTTTCAGTTCGCGAGTATGCTGTCGACTTTCTTCATAGTTTTTCCAATAGACAAGTATCAGAAAAGAAATGTAGACTTAAAATGGGAAACTGCATTTCTGTACGCAGTTTCCTTCTATTGTTTCGCATCTTCGACACTTCACTTCTTTGTATTTCTCTGTTCTTCAGATACAGCAAAACACTTTCCTAAAATGATATTTGTAAGTAATAATAAAAATTATTAATTTTTTAATAAAATAATGATAAATTATCCCGATTGAAATCTTTTTTTAGTATTTACATCATCATTTAATAGCGGCCAGTCTTTGTCTTGTAATGGGATCGTGGGAGGTATATTCAGAAGTACGCGAACATGTTTCTGTTCTAAACCTTGCCCATTACACAGCTGGGGTAAGTAACATTGTTACATATATCAATGTAATTTTATAAATTACATTAATTATATATTTCAGATGTTGACATTAATAAACTTTGTTCTGTTTGCTGGAGGATTTCTCTCTTTGTACCATGAACAAGGAGGAAACTTGTTTACAATGGCTCGTGCTTTAAGAAGAGGAAGACGAAGATATTAATTGAAAAAATATTCATAATTCAGTAGAATATTATAAATATTTTTCATATCCGACTTATAAATAATTATGTTTAAAATAAAATGTGAAGTGCGATATTTCTTTTACTAAATAAATATTTATTAATATAAAGTCCGCGTGTTAAATAAATATCAGCCAACAGGATAAGATGTAAAATATATGAAACACCTTTGCAGCATTGTCTGAACGTGAAAGCATTCGGAAAAGAGGATAAAGTTGGCAACCGAGAAAGGATATAGTTGCCAAATCCTGTATTTAGATTTGCGTATATTCGTCTCTCATTTAGTTGATGCACAAACCTTCGACTTTTACTCGATTGCTAAAGATATTTCAACTTTTCTTTATCGAAGAGTCATTGACTGCTCTTACAATGTTGTGATTCTCTTTACGAATTTATTAGCGAGTGTTATATAACTTTTTTATTAGTCAAGAAAGAATCGAACCGGAAATGACAGTAAGTTATCAATATGATGTGGCATCTTCCACTTCCGGTGGATTTATGCGACTTTTATTCCGTTGGAGGGGTAGCGTGTGGAAGCTGGTTTACAGGGAAATGCTGATATTTACCTCAGCTTATATACTTTTAACTATATTATATAGGTATTTTCTATTGGAAATGCAAAAAAGGTAAGTCATAAATTATTTTATCAAAATTCGTTTATTTTAAAGCCGAGTGCTTCGTTTATTCGCTAAATTTAGAAGATTTGCGTACGAAATTAGCGAAATAAAAAATAGTAATTAGCTTTAAAGTTGGCCTTTCGTATAACAAACGAATTTATTAAAAATAATACAGTTTTTAAGTGTTAATTTCTCTTATTTTATTTGAAAGTAATGTCACGAAAAGCATCCAGTTTATCATTAAAGTAGGTTTCTTTCTAAATTTAACTTCACTAAGTTCATATTTGCTCGCATAATTTTAGAACCTAATTTATGTTTATGCATGATCCATTTAATATTTAGGTCCACACAAGTTCATCATATGCATGTAAATATGTTGTTGTATTTTATCTGTATAATATCTTTGTTGATGTTGATTTAGCAAAGTTCTTGGCATCGCAAGTCTTTTTCATTGCCAATTTTTTCTTGGATACTGACAACAATAATTTAGGATTCGATTGTCTTCTTAATTAGCATATTTTCTCGATCGGAATCAATTTTAGACGTTTAACAATAAATATAATAATCCGTTACACTTTACCCAAGAAAATTTTAGCCTGTATGAGCATAATTAATGAGAAAATTAAAAGTTGGCTGGTAGAAATTCAATGCAACTATCAATAGTAATACTTGAAACTGACAATGCCAACTCTTGCCTGACAATTAAGAAAAAAAAAGCAAAGGAATGTTTGGCAGACCAAGTAATTCAGACGTTAAAATGTTACAGAAATGTTACGTAGCATTTTTTTCATTTATAAATTAACTATCTTTTTTAATTACAGGGTATTTGAAAGGATAGTTTTCTTTTGTTCAACGTTCCTGGATTTAATACCTCTAAGCTTTGTTCTCGGTTTCTATGTATCGTTTACAGCGTCAAGATGGTGGAATCAATACGTTGCCATACCTTGGCCCGACAAGTAAGTAAATTTTCAGGTAACTCGAACGAAACGAACCGAAATTCTCTTTCAATACAAATTAAAAACAAAAAGAGAGAAACTTTAAAAACCTGATCAAGAGTTACTTGTTTAAACTACACGTGGTTGACACTTTGCCAAAAATATTTAGGACTGACATTTATCGTTCCCTATTGTAACTTTGAATAGAAACATTTAAAGAGCTTGTTAAGTGTTTGATTATTAATAATAGTCCCTTCTTGAATAAAATATCACAAATAATAATTTTATTATTTTGTAATACAGTCAAACCTCTGAATAACGGCCACTGATTAGAACATAGAAAAATACACATTATTTGGAAGTTATTTTGTACGCATACGAAAGGTAATGCCGTTTAGAGGTGGCCGTTATTGGAGGTTTTATTTGATACAGTACTAATTCTGATTTCACGAAATAATAAATCGGTAATTTTCTGAAAGATTTGAATATTTCTTTTTAAAATGATTAGATTAATGAATATTTTGGCTCTGTACGTCAACGGGGTGGATGACACAAGTCGAATGCTGAGAAGAACATTCATGAGATATTTGAACTGTACTCTAGTTTTGGTCCTTCGATCGATCAGTATGGCTGTTAAAAGAAGATTTCCTACCAAAGATCATCTCGTTGAAGCTGGTCAGTACCGATATTTAACTGCATTTTTTGTTAACAAGTAAATTTAAATAATTAACGTTTCTTAACAATATAAATCGATCTTTAATTAACAAGTGGCATTTATCTCTTTACTCTTTTATTTATATTTAGTAAAATAACAAAAATTAGAGAAAGTAGAAATAAAATCAACGAAATAAATGAAAATTACTCAGATTTAGTTATCTTTCACATTAGTTTATGAAAAAAAAATATAATATAAATTAATGTAGAGAAATAGAAATATAGCGAAATTTATCTCTAAGCTTCAACATTAATATTTTTTATAAAATTTTGAAAAACAAATTAAGATTCTATAATTCGTATAGAAGAAACGTCAAATTACAGAGTCAAAGATAAATTATACCTTCTTTGTGTAACGTAATTATAAAGAGAACACTCGTAAATGCATATATGATTATATTGAAGTAAACCATTAAAAACTTAAAAATTATATAAACAAAATAAAAAATACATTTATCATATACAATCTAGCGAGCTTCGAACTTTAATAATTTGGGCAGAATGAATATAAAGGGAAGCAGCAGGAAATAAACTAGCCAGCAATAGGAAATTATCTAACTAGCAACAGGGGATAACCTAACCAGCAACAGACTCATTACACTAAATAGATACGACATAATACACCTAATTTTCAAAATTTATATTTAAAAAAAGAAGAACCGAGCAAGTCTTGGAAAAAGTTTGGGAATTTTAACAAGAGCATTGATTTATATATTGGAATTAGGTTTATGTGAAAGCAAAATTCACGATAGGAATATTTGTATTTCATAGATAATAAACATATTTTCAATTTATTATGCAGGATAACAATAGAACAAACAGTACAAATATTTGCGTTCTATAGAGTAAATTATATAAATCATTTTAAAACTTTTGATAAATATCTATAATTTAAACATTGGTGAAAACAATTCAACTTTTATATATCAAAATTATTTATACAGCAAATAAGGAAAGATCGGTATTTAATTGTTTGCTCTACTTGTTCAAGTAGCTATTTGCTCTCTCTCTTAACATATACTTTTTTATGTACAGTAACTGTTAATTTTTCTAAATGATAATATTAATTTTGCTGTTTTTACTTGCTATTTGCAAAATTTTATATTTTGCAGATAGCAAGTAAAAACAATATTTTATATTGTTATAAATAGGCCTATTTATAACGCGAAAATACCCAGATAAAAATATGAAAAATTATTATTATTACTTTGATGTTTTTGTCGATTCTTCTTGATTTAACGACACACAATAAAGAATTCTTCCATCACCCAGAGATATACCAGCCAGTTGGTGAGGTGCGAACCCGCGACTAACCACAGTATTCAAAAATTTTTATCCGTCCGGCCTTTGGTGGGCCTAAGTTGTATCGTTAACTATCATTCAAATATTCACAAAACTAAATGAATAAATTGGAATTAATTACACGTATTATATTTTAGGATTTTTAACAAAATTAGAATTAGAAATGTTGCAATCCGTTCCATCAACAGAATTTAACACTTTTTGGATTCCATGTACTTGGTTCATCAATTTGTTGAGAGATGCAAAACAATCGGGTCATGTCAATGATTCTAATGGATTAAAACTAATCATGGAGGTAAAATTTTTTCTCATTAATAATTTCATATTTTCTTAGTTAGATGAAGTAAAACTTTAATAACCATTCATAGGAATTTAACGATTTTAGAGGTAAATGTGGCATGTTATGGAGTTACGATTGGATCAGTGTTCCTTTAGTATACACTCAAGTAAGTATTTATCGATTAAACAATTAAAAAATTATAAAATTAAACAAATATTTCTTTCAATTTTAATTAGGTTGTGACTCTGGCTACCTACGCTTTTTATGTAGCTTGCATATTCGGACGTCAATACGTAGATAATACAAGTGATTTCCCACCTGGACATCGTTTCGAATATTATTTGCCTATATTCACTATTCTTCAATTATTCTTTTATATGGGACTACTTAAGGTAAAATTCAAACTTCAAACTTATAATAACTACAAAAGCTTTCTATAGTTTTAAAATGACTCAGTTTAGGTTGCAGAACAACTGATAAATCCGTTTGGCGATGACGACGAAGATTTTGAATTGAATTGGATTATTGACAGGCACATCAAGGTAAATCTTGTTTTTAATAAATCTTAAGTTAATTTTTTTTAAATTTTCAAATATTAAATATTCTACGAAACTTCAAATAAAGACAATGTTTACTTATTTAACTATTTACGGCCTGTATATAATGTGACTCCCTTCTTAAACAGTGCACACTAGTGACCGAGTGGATAAAAATCATTAAATACTAGTAGTTGGTCGCGGGTTCGCGGTTGACCAGCGCAAACCCGCAACGCCAGAAAATTTATGCGTGAAGTTTTCTGGTTTTAGATTTACAAACCTAAATGAACAGGGACAAGTTTCCCTGTAGAAAGTCTTCCCGGGAGGCACACCTTGGCTGATCATTCTTGTTTACCGTTGCCTTTCATCAATCCCATCCTTCCCGGACACTTTATCTACTGTAAAGTACAAATACATTTCGGGCACAGGTTTTATTCATTATTCCTCTATTTCAGTGTAGGAAGATATTGAGAGGATTGAAAAAATCTGTGTATAAATGCATTTGTACTACAGTACATAAAATGTCCAGTAAGAAAGTGGACCTGTACGAAGTTTAAAGTTACCACATTCCTCAAAATATCAAATATATTCTACATGCAAATATATCTAAAATATATCTAATATAAAAATTTTTCTCTGTGTTATCAACAATATGGAGGTTTTTATATGTTGTTCTGCATACTTCCAACATCAGCAAGCTTAAAGATTAACAACATAGTCAAATTTTAAACATTTAATTCAAAAATAAATAAAAAAGGATTTTATAAATAATGAATTACATGCATGTAATAATTTCTGCAAATATTCTTCTTCTGTTTGCCCTATTCTATTTATCTGTCCCGTTTTTAGGTGTTAGAAACGTAAAGAAAACCGAGAAAACTCCACTTGGCCATCACATTGGTTAGGCTAAGAAAACATTTTAATACAGTCCAACCACCAATAACAGCCACCTCTATTTTCAGAAACATTTTTCTTTTTGAACAAAAAAACATATATTATAAACTCCATACAATGACCATTTTTCTGTTCCGTCAGTGGCCGTTATTCATGGGGTTGACTGTAATTCGGTTTAAAACGAAAACTAACATTTATTGTTGATGAAATTCTGAAATAAAATATATCTCATAGCTTTAATATATATAAAAATATGCTTAAATGAAGTATAATTTAATTTAAAACATATGTTACATTTAATATAGCGATATTAAATTTATTGATTATTATTTTCATATAATCGTTACGGACGAACAAGAATGCGTGTGTAAGAAAACAAGAAAAATAAATAAAAATATCAGAAATATACATAGAACTGGACTTATATATTATAGCTTACAGCCATACAATAAGAGGCCCTTCTCCTACACCAATTAATGATACATGGAAAAATGTATCACCATAAGGTATAGATTCAGCGCGAGGTCCTAAGCTGCTCAATAACATACATATATTAAGAAAATATTTTCATATAAATTTATAAATTCAGATACATAAAGGAATGTTAATTTCCAGTAATTGTTATATTCCAGCAACATATTGAAATTACACGCAAAAGTGTCGTGAGTGTCAAATATGACAGTTGATTTAGAAAAAAATTCAGTGTGTTGTTATACCAAAGCCTGAATTGTTATGCAGGGTATTCGAAAAGTCTCTCCGCAGTAGGTATTGTAGATTATTCTGAACCAAGGCCAACCAATGGCAGAGTGAATAGTAGTTGATCGCGGGTTCACGCCTGACCACGTGGAATTTTTCGAGTTTCTTTCACATGTAAAATACCTAAATAGGGGCAATTTCTCATAGAAAGGCTTCCCGGGAAACACCCTCCTTAGTGATCTGCCAAAAGAGATGCCTCCCAAGTTGCTCACGTGTTGCGTTACGTTTTCCTAACAATCCAATCCAATCATTAAAATCAACTTTTTACATTTTGAACCGTTAACGAGTGCATATAAGATCAATACGGCCATTTCTACGTAATGTTCTGCTTAATTTTTAATATTTTATAGGTGTCATATCTTGGAATAGATACTCTGAATGGAATTCCGCCCCCTTTAATCAAAGACAATTACTTTGATGAATTAGATATCAAACTTCCTTACACAGCAGCATCAGTTTCGTATAAGAAGAAGACTTATAGAGGTTCTGTGGCGAAAATGCAGTTAGTATTTGTATAGAACAACAATAGATAATAATTAATATTATTTTATAATTAATTTCTTCAATTGTATTTCAGTGTTCCAGAAGAACAGCAGAATCTTGTATTACCGGACATTCCAGAAGAAGAAGACGAAGATAAATTTGCAGAACAATTTGGTCTGACTAATCGCAGGGCTTCTACTTGGACAATTGTTGGCGGAAAATTTCATAATCGATTGAGTGCCAGTCAATTAAACATCGACAGTAATTCGTTAGAAAGTGGTGTCGAAAACTGGAAAGCTTCTAATTATTCCATAAATAGAATGGTTGGATCCAAACAACTTGACAAGACTACACCAGGTATCAGGGGGTAAGATTTATAATTCTCCCCCAACATTTTCTCTCCCTCGTGTTGTTTATTTCCTTTTTGTAGTCCGTTTCACGCAATGTTGTCCCCCTTACAGTGAAAAAACAACGCATCATTGACGATATTCATAACTTCAAATACAGTTTGCTCTTGTTGTGTCGAGAGACAGATTGGAGACCTCGATTCATCATTCTATGGTCTCAATATGTAGTCCTATAACAGAAATTTTAACAAAATACATAATACAAATAAATTACAATAGATGAGTGTATCAAAAATCATTTTTATTTTATTTAAAACTTTCGAATTTATGAAATATCAGGTGACGTTTGGTTTGCTTTGATGGAATATGGTAACGTGACACATGGGCCACCTTCTCCAACGGGGAATACCTCCTAGGAGGACTTTCTATAGGAGAATAGCCCTATTTAGATGTTAGACAGGTGAAGGAAACCCGGAAAAACCCACGTGGTCAGCCAGTTGGTGAGGAGCGAACCCACAACTAACCAGTGTTTAATGATTTTATCCATTCGACCACTGGTGGAAAATTGTTACTATTAATAAAAGATTGTTACTATTTATGGGATTCCTTCTGTACAAGTAATTTGTACTCGCTTCACTTTCCAGGATACATTTTGTTACGAAAAGTAATTTCGAAAACACAAAATTTATTCTGATACCAAACAAAAAATCGTTAGTAATCTAAAAAATTTAATTGCAATCATTCATTATTCATAAACTTTTACTGTTTTCTCTTGAATCTGATATCAACGATTTTTTTTGGATCAATTATTCTGTTATCTGAATTTTTTATCTGTTAATTAGTTTCATCTTAGTAAGAGATCAGTATTAAAACAATGAAAATAAATAAAATATTCAACCAATCTTATCTGATTTTTTAAAATATATATATATTTTTAAGATTCGTATTGTAAATAACATTTACAATAAGAAAAATAGATCATATAAAATCATATACTTACTCGTATATTGTTCTTTAACTTAATTTTATGACTTTTGCATTTCTTACACGTATTGATATATTGCTGTAACAAAGATTTTTTTGTAGCATCACCTTTTGTTGATTCAATTATTAAACTAATATAAAATGAAATTTTAAAAGAATTTTATAATGATTAATCCTGATTCATTTATAAAACTTTATTACTTTACAGCTTTGGTGGTTCACGCACTACAGAAATTGTGGCATCGCCTGATCAAATGGATAAAGAATCCATGATTTCTTATGGATCATTAGCTGACAAACATATGAGATCGGCGCTCGAAAAATCACTTTATCCGAGTGCAGTTGCCAAACCGAAAAGTGCTAGAATCTTGGCTCAGCCTTCTAAAATAACGCCAAATCAAGGAAGAATGACAAAGCTATTTCAAAGAGCAAAGAAAGCGTGTACTGCTCCACAAAAAAGTCATCCGACTAAATATAAATGGACAGCTTTCAGTCCAGAAGCTAGACCGACTCAAGAGGGGATATCTTTATGCAATTTGCCAAGAGGTTCGGTGTGTGATGATATGTCAGATTATCATTACCAACAAGACTCTGCTTCGTTGTTTAATTTCCGTCGAGCGTCTCGATTAGACGACATCCCCACTATTCAATCCGTCACTCAACGGCCATCGCTACCATCCGAAATGCTACCTCCAATTCATCCCAACATCACTTTATCCGGTTCTCAGGATATAGATGTCCTTATTCATACACAGAGCCCCCCGAAAAATGACGAAGATACTTTGAAAGAACAAGATGATGAAACCTCTGCCGAAGAAATTGAACCCAGTGAACAATATAAACCAGAAGATATTCCAGAACAAACGTGGATGTACTCTCAGAGCATGCCAAATGTTACCGATTCAGTGTTCATTTTTGAGGATCCCGAAGACGAAGCTTTAATTAAGGGTTGGGGAGATGCGCAGAGGCAGGATTATAGTTTCAAAGGTGGAGAAAGTGTATCTATACCTGATATTGATTTAGTGACGTATTCATCGGAAACGCTTTGTCCCGAAAAAGTAAAATCGACAAAAGAAAAAGAACCCGATCCAAAATCTTGAGACAATTAAATTTTTTGATAAAGTTCTGTAATTATCGCTTCGAAAGAAATAAGTACTTTCGATAATTTTCCATCAGTGGAAAATGATGTATTTATTTAGTTCAAGTAAATTATTTTAAAAATGTTTAAAAATAAAATATTTTTTATTAAACAAATATGTGGTTGTTCGATAATTTCGCAATTTTTCTTTTCAAATATTCTCGTGTTGAAAAAATAAATTTTACAGAATTACTTTATTCACTCTTGTAGGAAACGTATGAACCAACGCTTGCCTTCATGCGACATCAATGCGTCGCTTGGCAATGGTATGATCCAAACTATTGGCTGCATCTAAGTAGCAGGTTGCTAACAGTAAGTAAGGCAAGTCAATGATTTCTTCAACTTAAAGTCTTGAAGTATCCAAGGAATCTACTTGTTTTCACGAAAGGAAATTTTCGGTGCCAAATCAAATTTTCAAAGAATTGGATTTTAGATTGATTTCCACAAAATGACAGCGCATAATAGCGATAGAGATCGACCTAACTACCGATTAGAGGCGAGTGTAAGTCATGATCGCAGCTAGCAAGAGTGAGATTAGAAAAAACTATCCATAAAAAATAATAAGGGTCTGGCATGGATTCAAAAGTGAACACTTCATAGCGACAAGAGAGCTCTTGAAGTTGACGCCAGATTAATTTAACGCTGGAATATAAGCACATTTTGAGTGGTTAAAATGGAAATAGAAGTATAATAGTATACTATATTAAACGATTGATTTGTTGACGCGAGATATTAAAAAATTGCAAATTTTCCGTTCTCAATAGTATTGGATTAAATTAGATTGATGAGATATAGCAACTCAATACGTGCGCGATCTGGCAAGAGGGTAGATTTTCTATGGGAAATTGGCTCCTATTTAGGTGTTACATAAAAAACGCGAAAAATTTCATGTGGCTAGCCCGTTGATGAAGCGCGAACTCACGCCCAACTACAATATTCACTTATTTTATTCCCTTGACCACATATTAAAAATAAAATACGATATGTCAGAAAATTCAGGAATAAGACTATTTATTATTATTATTATTATTATTTTCCATTATTATCAGCCATTCTTTTTCTAAGAGGGACAAACCCCTTTTACACATGATTGGAGTTGCTTTCATTCAGCACAAATTATTATAAGGTTAAGTAAGTACGATTTATATATTTATTCACCAAATTTCACGGAATAATCCAATCATAATCATGTCAGCAAGCTTATTGATACGAACCGTCAACTCATGACAGCTGTCCAAAATTATACCCATTACTAGTAAGCCCACAGTAATAGGACAGCATGAGTGAGAGATGCTTTGTACAGAGTGAAAATCCGAAATAAAAGGAAAAACTCCCAAAGTTCAGAGATTTAAGAAACTGTTTCGGATCAATGAAATAAAACAGTCTTTCTTCTGCTGACCCGCCCACCAGTGGCTAAATGGATAAAACCACTGAACACTGGTAGTTGGTTGTGGATTCGCACCTCATCAGTTGGCCACAAGGAGGTTTACGGGTTTTCTTCACGTGTTTATCATCTTTACACGGGCCAGTTTTCCATATGACCACAGTTTATATATAAACCAGTGGTTCTTAACTGGTGTTTCGCTAAATTATGAAAGTGACGGACTAGCTGAAACTATGATTGGACAAACTTTATCGTAAATTCGCAATTTACAATTCAGACAAGACGCAACTTGTATTTTGAACTTCACTCGTTACGTTTGCAATGACAAGAAACCCAAATATTATATCTAAACAATTTTTTTTTGTATAGAGAATCCCTAGTTTCAAAAACATTGCTGGCAACGTTAAAACTTATACAAGATCGAGTCGTACAAATGTTAACTTACAAGTCAAGATCATTTAATATGCGTTTTTTAAAAATTTGAATAACCATGGAAGCTCAATATAAATCTGTTTTTGCGCGCTGAAGTAAAAATGTTGTTCAGGGTCGAGTGCCATGTCCATTTTAGAACTTAAAAACCACTGATATAAACTGTATAAGAAAAATTTATAACAGAAGATAATAACATTTAAACTCTTAATTTTATAAATAATAATAAAAGCATAGTTTTAATGGAACACGAAGTTTAGTGTTACCTCGATCTTCTCCTTAATGATTGTCCTCTGAAATTAAATAAAGAATATGAATAAAGAATAGATTAATATAATAAGGCAGCGCAATAGTTGGTGATCTGCCAAGAGAGGGTACCTCCCAGGTGGACTTTCTATAGGGAACTGAACCCTATTTAGGACTAACGGAATTTTTATTAAATAATAATAACAATAATAATAAACACATCATCAAGGCTGAACTTAGAGTTGTTGTGACCTTAAGCTATAATATATGAGAGGCTCTTCCCCTCCATAAATAATGATACATGTGAAAATGTAAGGCCCTCATAACGCGAGGCTCTAATATGAAGCTTGTTTAGCTTATGTGCAAATTCGACCTTAAATATATTAATTTCTTTAAGTAATTATTAAGGAATTTTTCACACTACTTTCCACTCTTATAATAGTTTAAATAATTTTAAAGCGTACTTTTAAACATGAATACATCAAATATAATGGTTGCAATTTGATAAGAAACAAATATGATAATTATTTTGTATTCTTAATTGTTTAGCATTTAGAAGGTTGATAGAATGACGATTAAGCCAAAGATAATAATTACATTGACGTTAAATTTTTTAGAATATTTCAAAAATATCCAATAAGTGCACTTTATATTATATCATAAACTTTGAATTGATAAATAAAATTTTAATGAGATAACGAGTCAACAACGAGCGTTAAGGATCATGATTTATATTTAGATAAAAGATTCAAAGTTTAACTAGATTAATAGACTATACCAGCTGCTAGTGGGGCTTAAACTTTTCATTCTAGGTCCTGGATGACTCTAAAAATAATTCGAAATTTCTTTTTTTAATTCCGGAAATAACCAACTCGTTGAAGCAACACGTTAAACAGGGAGAGTAGCTACACTCTTCAAGTCCAGGTAAGTTTCTAACAGATTCATTTCATATATATAATAATAATTACAATATAATATTAAATATTAATTATTCTATGAAAGAAAATAAGATTATTTATTAATTAAATTTATAAATGGGGATTGATATTTTTATAAACCGTTAGATACAATAAATTAGATTTGTAGTTTCGGTCCGAAGATCACAAATCCCGGATATTTTTAACTCCAAAATTCATAAAAGAAACCTCTGTAATGTTTATATTAATCAGGTTCGAGTACAAACTTTAAAAATAATATATTTTTTTCTATTTTTACTCCAACAAGATTAATAAATTGACTAACATTTGAACGCTTGCAACCTTTACCACTTCCTTATTAATCGTTTTTATTACCTCATTTAACAATAATTGAGGTCGTATTATATAAAATACTATCGAAATAATTTTATAAAATCGATTTATCTTATGTTAAAATCTGGACTGAATGCCCTTGGCACAAAATCAAAGCGCTAGAAAAACTTTTTTATTTTCCAACTTTAGCAACGTCCTCAATATCTTTTCGACGAGCATCTCTGTGTCGAGACTCCCTACATAAATCCAATTAAATAAATAATAATATTTACTTAAAAAAATATTTATATTTAATTGTACATAACTGTAATTAATTCCAATAGAATTATTTATTTATTTTGAAATATATTTTATAAACTTTACCCGATTATAAATCGCAAAATATAGGAAAACTGCCAAGAAATGTTTTGGCCAACAAACAAATTTCTTCGTTTAATGAGAGAAATCCATATTGTGTTAAAAATATTTCGACACACAATAGTGACATCACAGTTGTGACGTCACAACTTGGCTGTCAAAACACGACAGTTATATTTATATAATCAAAACTCGTCTCTTCCAGATCGGAAGAGTTACAAATATAAATTTTGTTTTATATAATATTTACAATTCTAGACGATTTATATGAATTATTTAATTTAATTTATGTAGAAAAAATGCATTTGCCTTTACCGGAGGTGGCAATTCCCTACGCTGTACTCTTATGTAATACACTTTTATTCAAGAGTTTACGCTTGCTTACATTTCGTTTCGTGCCTTGTTCGTGGAAATTACTATTTTCAGAAATTATTTCAACTTTAGAATTATGCAGCGATTGTGCAGAATTAGGTAAGTTTATTATATATTAATATAAAAAAGTAATAAATATATTAATAATATTGTTATTTAATAGGAGTCGTATACGAAATACATGGAATGATCGGTTTAGGTCTGGCATTGTTCACGCTTTGCATGTGGTGGAGTCAAGTATTCGATGATGCAGAAGCATGTCCTTGCGGTCCAATCGAAGATTTCATTTTTCCAGCACAATCAACTAAAGCAGACATTTTTAAAAAGATAACCGGACAAGTATTAGGAGCCATTGCTACTGCCGGGTAATTATATTATATATACGAACCATCAAGACCAAAATGAAATAAAAATATATTTATTAAAATCAACCTACTTCACAGCGGTAGTTTGACCTCACGTCAAATCCGATCAAGCAACTACGGGTAATTTTTAGGGGGTTGCTCTCGTCTCTCACCGCGCAATCTCCCTCATTATGGGCCTGGACGAATCCACGACTGATATAAAAAAAGGGCCTCTTAGTGAGGGTGGAAAACGTCGAAATATGAGGGTTTGTGAATACGATATGCGGTAATAAAGCAATAACTTATGACTCAATTGGCAGGGGCAAAAAGCCAAAAGCCGTTTAACAGTAGGTACTTCGTTCAAAAATGTTTAAAAACACTTTCTATTTTAACTCTTAACCTATAAAATATTATAACTTTCACGTAAACTCGGCCTTAAAATATTAATTCAAAACATTATATACCAAGATCTGTGGATAGTATTAAAATATTTACTTATTTAAAAGATATTCTAGTACAGTCCTGCTTTTATACTTTTTAAATAAAAAATAATATCATATATCAGCTTAGTATTTCGAAATTTAAAATATGCAAATTAATCTCATTAAAATAAATTACAAAAATATCTTGGCCTAATTCACTTTGGATTTAGAATAAGTAATTATTTTTTTAAACTTTTATACATGTTATAGTTTTAAAAAAAACTTAAATTTACAGTTTAATTAAAGATATATAAAATATTGTTAAAATTTTTAAATGTAACATTATTATAAATTAAAATTTTACTTTAAGAGATTTAATATACCCTTGCATAGGTAAGATCTCTTTACAACACGACTATCTTGTACAAATAAAATGTTGCTTGCAGAGCCAAAAATGCCCAAGTGGCGAGTTTGGTATATGATCTTTTACGAAATGTCTTCCGCATATCTTGAAATGTTTGGTTTAATTTGGACTGCTAAATATCTTTCTAGACAGCGTTGAATAGGGGTAGTTTTATTACGATCACCACGACAAATTATCTACATAAATAATTGTATTTACTACGTTTTCTCTTCCTTGTATCTTGATTTACACTTTACATTGTATATTGCCTAAAAGCTATTCCATATTTTAAACGGAGCAGACTAAGTAACACCATTGTTACATTGTTACAAAATACTATTTATTACTTTCCCGGCTCTGTTATATATTATATAACAGAGGAAAAGTATGACAATCAGTCAAAAAATGACCCTCTCAGATTTTTACAATTTTGGACTCAGGGGACATTGAAATGTTTAGAAATGAAAAAAAAAAACAAAAAAAAAGTTGTGTTTTCTTAATGTATGGATGTTAGTGTGTGGGGGGAACACGGTTTTGTTCACCCATTTTCAACCTTAATAACTCTTGCTTCTTGCTGAAAATTTCTGAAATTTTGCAGGGAGGTTTGTCTATTAGGGGAATTTATGCTATTAAATTTTAGTGGTTAAAGGTTGATGGGTTGGGAGATGGTTTGTCTGTCATCTCTTGACTAGAGTCAAACTTAATGACGATTTTACTCGTTATTAGAATTTACAATTTTTATAAAAACTCATCCCTACCCTCAAAATTAAGCGTTTTGCCATTTTATAATAATTAAAAATATAAAAGTAATAAAATATCATAACAGATACCGCCGCACACGCAGTTTTAAATGTTGCGAAAGTTAAGTAACTCGTTGCTGGATTTTTTTTTCATTAATATATATATATATATATATATATATATATATAGTCAAACCTCCGAACAACGGCCAATGTTTTTAGGTGGCCGTTATTGGAGGTTTCACTGTATTTATTTATAGTTTACGTGTAATTGATGAAAATATTAAAAATCAAAAAATGCAATCAGGTAATGTAAATGTACAAAACAATAAATGCTCTAGAAAATGTTTTGAAGAAGTAAATTTCATAAATTTTAGGTTTAATTTAGTTTAAATTAATTAATAAAATAATTAATTACTAGAATATGACAATGTAACACGTGGGTGATCTACCAGGGAATACCCTCCCAGAAAGACTTTCTATGGGAAACTGTAACCTATTTAGTTGTGAGACAAGTAAAGAAAACTCGAAAACGTCACATAACCGGCTGCTGTTCATGCGTGAACTCGCAACCAACTGGTCACGGGTTCGCATCTGACCAACAGGCTAGCTGGCTGCTAGTGTTCAGTGGTTTTATACAATCCGCTAAGAATTAAGAAAACAATCGGTCTTTGTTCAATCTGACGATCAGTCTTCAATAAAAATTCCATAAAAAATACGAATAAGATTGACTGATTAATACGAACTAACAATACAATATTCTCTGTATGGTGATTCCAGTCCAATTCCTCCCCGCACTGTAGTAGATTATGGGAGACTGAATCAGAGTTATTTATGGCTGCGGTTAATACCTTACCGACCGCCTAACGTACCATTAAGAATTCTATTTCCATTTTTCTGTAGCACCACACGAGAGGACCGAAAAGATCACAAATGCTAGAATAAGAATTTTAAAAGACCTAATCATATCATAAAAAAAGACAGCTTTCGCCTAAGGATGTTATTCGAAAAGTTCTGGCTGAGTAATAAACTTTATAAAAAAAAAGAAAATTCAAAATGATAAGTTTGTTGTTTACTGTAAGTTATGGCAACGCAGCACTTAGGCGATCTGCCTAGGGGGAATGCTTTCCGAGAGGTCTTTTTTAAGGGAAAATAAGGCGTTACAGACGTGTGGAAAACCCGGAAAACTCCACGTGGCGAACCCGTCCGTGCGAGGCGCTGAACCCACGACCGAACTCCCAGTGTTCAGGGAACGAAGACCGCTTGGCCACTAGTGGGCCAAAATGATGAGTGAAGTAGAATGATGCTATAAGAAGACAAACTATAGTAGAAGTGAAATTCGCAAAACTAAAATTCAAGATATGGAGTTTCTCGGTTCGTCTTCTACAAACCCTCCCATAAGGAGAACGCCATGAGTATAGGATAAAAATGTTCTATTACAATCCCATTTGTAAATTATGATAATAATTGGCTTTATTCCACTTTTAGTGGGTCAGGTGTTGCAAGATAAGATGCCAGTCTATCTCTATGAGAGATATGGATTTGAAATCGATACCGAACCGTATTTATTATAGGTAATGAGTCGAAAATGTTTCCATCCTTCACACCCATTCCATACATAATTGAAGTAATTGTGACTGGCTGTATAGAACTTAAAAAGTATTTTTCTGTTATAAATATCCTTTACTCTTAGAAATGGTAATTAATTTCATTTCATAAAATTAATATTAGTTAACTATTTTAAATTATTTCTCTTTCAGATACATAAAATATGTTTGGTCTTTTCATATGGTACCAGAACACGAAGTACTCCACACTGCAAAGTGTCAGGCGGGTCTACAGGTAATTAAAATAATTACTAAATATTTTTATGTACATAAATTAATAACATGGAAGGTTGTCAGTTAATTTTGGACCTTTTTTATTGTAGTTCTTCCACCACCGATTATGTTCTATACGTGCCCTTGAGCCGGAACTTTGTAGTTTCCTAAAATAGTTTACGCAAATTATAATTAATTTTTTAATTTTTAAACTGTTTTCCGAATTGCATTACAAAGTGATGTTTTTAATTTAAAATTTTACTTATCATATACACAGATAATTACCAGAGAAATGCGTAAATACAACAATCTTGAACTTGAGATCGAATACAATATGCATAAGCTGAAATTTTGGAAAAATCGAAAGAAATACGGCACTGTACTAAAATGCAGATGGCACTTAAAATTTTATAGGATTTTATAAGATTAATTAATGTAAAAATTTTAAAAAATTTTTGTACAGTAAAACCTGTCCAAAACCTGAATGAAAAGGAAACCTGCCTAAATGGACCGATTTTTTATATTTTAAAAATCCTGTTCAAAACGTGAAACCTGCCAAACCGGAAAAAAATATTCGTTACCGCGCGATCCCGGTTTACTCAGGTTTTACTGTATTTTGAGGTATGTAGGGATATCTCTATAATAATGAAGTGATTTATAATTTTAAAGAAACCTATCTTTAATAAATACTTTTATCATTAGGTAACATTACTTTGGGGTGCTTGGATCGAAGGATATATCACAGCTATTAGTCGAGTAGTTGCACTAGAATCTGTTAACTGGACTCCACTAACATCAGCTGTAGCCAATTCAATAACAACCGTAGCATTAGTTCTGTGGGGTAAGTTTAGTACTTTAATCTTATATTATGGTGATTCTTAGAGTAGTTCAACCAAAATCACGTGATAGTAAGTGATAATTAATGTTCCAAACCGTTCTCTCTTGTTGGTGGGATGTATTCCGAACATTTTGGTGAACACTTTTTGCCACAAATTCTCAATTGGATTAAATCCGGAGACTGAATTGGCCAATCCAGTTGTACTCCTGGAACCACTTCTTCACAAATTTTGATCGATAGCAGGGAGCATTGTAATCCACGAAGGCCTCAAAGAGAGACAAATCTTGAACACTTAATTGCATTTTCTTGTTCAGTATTTAGCGGAATTTAGGGTCATTTATCATCTCTTGAACGATCTGCAGCCTCCCAACGCCGTTTGCAGCCATACACGACCACACTATTATTGAAGTTAGGTGGTTTATTATATGGGCTGTACTGTACTGTACACTGTGGCTTGAACTCTTCTCCCGAATATCCTCTAACGTAGACAGACGTGGAATTAGCCGCAATTGGGAACGTCGACCGGTCACTAAAAAAGTATTTTTTCCTTACTGTTAGAGAGACCTTTGGCAGTAATCTTTAGTACAGACTAAAATTCATTTTTCTGAACTATCGATAGCAGCGGTTTCCTTTTAGCTTTAAACACACGCAATCCGACTTTGAGCAATGTGTGGCGCTCATCCTTTGCTGATTGGGGAACCAAGTGCTAATGAGTACTTGGGGTCTCAATCAGCCAAGTGCCGCGTCCCACGCGACCATCAGCAAGGAATGAGCACTTGGGCGACTGGACCGTGGTTTTTGAGCGTTTTCTATAGTTTTGTCTCATGATTGTTCTTTTAACCATAGTTTTAATTTACAAGTGAAAATTTGGATGATTTTCGTCAGTAAAATGGTCAAGGCAAAGTGTTTTGTCACAATGAAAAAACAATAAAAAAAAAGCAAGTTATTGTTTGCAGTCAGCCATTTTTGTATCGTATTTTAGCTGGAAGACGTTTTCAAAGATTCGAAGTCATTTTCATCTCCATTTTCTGAAACATGGTTATTGAACGTCACTCTTCAAGCATTTGATCAACATGGATTAATCGACAGTATCTTTTCAAAGAGTAGAAAAGAGAAAGCCAGTTTGGCTTTCTCTTCTTTTTCTTTGCTGTCTCTTCTTTTTTTCTGACAAATGACGTGCATTGACAAATTGATTTTGCCTCCATCTAGGTCATTTTCAAAATTAAACTTTTAGACACTTGATAAAAACCTGGGAAACCCTACTTGGCCAACTGGTTGCTCAGTGTTAGAACCTGCAGCCATCTACCAGTGGTTTCAGCCACTCGGCCACTGACTAGCAAAATATTAGACTTTTATTATGTAAGCTATATTTGGTTTCCTGTAGGTAACATCGCTTTCATATATTAGAATTACAATATGACAAATATTTACACAACTTTATACGATTTTCATATAACTCCCCTTTATAACACAAATAATAATACTAAATTTTATCTCGTGTGTGCAAAAATTAGAATAAAGTGCTAAATATATTCACATAAAATAAAGAAAAATTGCCGATGGACAATTAAATTTTATATTTAATTGGTCCATCAGCACCTTTGTCGGCAGAGTTTCCTTAGGACAAGTAGATTCTTCCATCACATGGTGGGTCAGAACACAACTAAAATAAGAAATGAGTACAGAACGAGGACACTAGACCCTCGGATATATCACAAGCCCCGTCCCCTCACCACCTCCACTATGGGCCTGGCCGAACCCACGAGCTCACAGGGCAAAGAGAATTATGCTACTCCTCAAGCTAAGTACAAGGAATTGCAATGAAATAATTAAATTAATAATTAAAATATTCCATTTAATCAGTAAATGACTAGGAACAAAAAAAGTCTGGTAACTTAGAAACTTAGAGATGCAATCAGGCCTATACAGTACATTCATTTGATTAGCCTATTATTATTATTATTTATAACTCTTTGATGGATGTTTTCGTGAAATGTACATTAAGGAAAAACGTTATTTAATTATAAAACTTTTTATTTCAGCTCTCAATACTACAGGTGGCTTCTTCAATCCCATTTTAGCATCGGCATTAACATTGGGATGTTCTGGTAATACGCACTTTGAACATTTTATGGTCTATTGGTTAGGAGCTTTATTCGGAGGATGTGTTGGGAGATATATTCACACTTTTCTCGAAAGAAGAAGAAAATATAAGTTCGATTAATTTAAGGACAATAAAGAAATTACTAAAATAATCCGAGAAGTTGGTTAGTAATTACAATTTAAAAAATCTTTCGTTCGTATTGTACTTTATAAACTGTTACATTTTAATACAAATATTGATTTAAATTTTTTTTTCAGTATGCCTTCAAGAAACAGTATTTTGAAAACTCTATATTGTTTCAATTATTTATTAAAAATTCAATGTCTTCCTTCTACCAATAAAATGCTGAAAAACATTAGTAATAAAATTGTATTATAATAATATTTTCTGTATTAATAAAAATTTTAAATTAAGAAAATCAAAATTTTATATTTCATTATTTTTGTTTCTATTTTTGAATCTCTTTCCTATGGGCAGTAATGGGGTTTTTCTTCCAGGATCATCGTGAGTTTCATCATTCCATACCCTGGCCGAACCCATAATGGGGGCCGGATGGTAGGTACCTGACGTGCCCGGGAGGTCGCCCACAAAATGTTCCTGGGTTCTCCACATGAATTAAATTCCTTGTTCCCAGAGTGGTATACTGGCGCCAAAACGGCCATCATCATCCAGTCACGCTCGTCATATCAGGGTCCCACAATTCTTTCGGCAGGAAGCCAAAGAATTATAGGGCTTATTATGTTGCTTGTTCATGGAACTTATCAGGCATTTCCTCAAATGAACCAATGTAAAACTGAATGACAATCTGCATTATTGAATTTTTCCATCCGCTGTTCTATGGTGCTGTTTTACCGTGTACAACAGCACGATAACTGAAAAGAGGAGGCGATCCGAGTCAAGATGACGTTGGGCAGTCTGATACTCTCCATGAACAAGTGAATTTCTGGGAATTCGGCGCAAACTTTCAAACCTTTCACGTGGGCCACCCTGTAACATGTAAATAACGCAAAACATTAAAGTAATATAAAGTTTCATTGTAAACAAACAAAATTTGTTTATTTGGATCCAATTTGTAATCAGCTCTGGAGTATACACAAATCTGTATTCAAATTCCATAATGAATAATCAATCAAAAGTTTATCAGTAAGAAAATTTTTAAAGTAAAATGACTGCTAATTCTTGATTTATGGGGCTGTGGATATGTGCAAAACGAGCCAAAAGAGAAAAGAATGCAATCAATTCCAAAGGTAACTACCACGAATTCTGACTGTAAATCTGAAAGCAAACTCTTTCTTTAGTATTCTGAGAGCATCATATTATTTCTTTACTTAGAATGTTACTTATACAGTAAAGTAGTATATTGAATATTTTAATTTATAAATACTATCAGAAAGTTCATTTAAATACTTAAAATATCTTTTGTTGTTCCTACAGAACAAGAAATTCATATATAGTATTTGTAAAAAAAAGTTTTCCAGTTCTTAGCTAAATGTTTTAAATAATCAACCCATTGTAACTTGTATTCTCTACTAGAATCATTTAATATTAAGAAAAACTTTCAATCTACACAAAATTTACTCTTTACAAATGGTTTAAAATAATGTTAAATACAAAATATTACAGTAACAATGACAACATGAAGCTAATTTAAGCTGAAAATTGTTAGAGTCCATCAAAATACTTAATTCAAATGTTTCAAATAGAAAATTAATATGAATTTATTTAAAACTGTTTAACAGAATTGAATTATAAGCTCATTTCTTCTGTAATTTTCAATGAAATTACCTTTGTTATTAATAAATTTAGAAACTAGAATTTATTATTAATTAATAAATCTTTATTACAACAAAAAAAATTACAAGTAAATTGATAAATTTTATTTTATAGAAGGATTTATTTAAAATTGTATTTAATTTTTAAAAAATGAATAAAACTATTGATAAAACAGTTATAAATATATTATGACCCATTATGACCAATTCAAAAATTTTTCAGTCTTAATACAATATGTGGTATTAATTGTTGTTCAATCTTCTGAATTAAACTCTTCCATTGACTTCCATTTTTAAGTGTTTTGTAGCAACATTAACACACTTCAGTAACTTTAAAAATACAATATATTATAAAAACATATCAATAAATAAAAGCTGATAAAAATTAATAAATTTTAAAAAAATGTATTATTAAGATATTAGCAGTGATGCTAATTAATTTCATGGATGGCCAGATAGCCAAGCAATCAAGGTGGCAGCATACTGCTGTGGGGGGACCCAAGCTTGAATCTGGACACACAAAATAAACTAAGGAATTTTTCAGGGAATGGTCTGTCTGGTTATGCCAGGTCCTTGTTCCTCACAGCCAGTTGCCTGTTGTGGTCCTGGCTGAACCCATATTGGGCTTGCTAAAAAGATCCTCTTAATGCCTGTAGGACTGAGAGTTGAGGGGAAAACTACTTTCATGACATATTTTCTAGTCTTCAGGCTTATATGAATATTTTATGCTTGTTATGCTTGAACGTGGTTAGGGAAGGTCTCTGAAAGTATGATGTCATCTTCTTGTATTTTGGTATCTGCTTCATTTTTACATTAATACAAATTTAAACATAAAATTAACAAAAAATATTTAAAATAGTGTTTATATTTTATATATAAATTTATACATATGTTTAATATGCCCTACTCAAATTGCAAATACACTCTACTATTTATGACAATTAAACATAACCTACAGCAAAACTGGAAAAACTGGTCAAGAAAGCTGCTTGTTGCTAAATTCAGCCATGCTGAAGTGGAAGCTGCATGCATCTATGTAGTAATTTTACAACACCAAATGCTACAGCATTTCAGATGAGCTTTCTATTACCTAGAAGGTCATATAAAATCATTTCTATAATGATAAAATTTCTATATAAATTCAGGGTGTTACTCTCAAACATCCCTAGTTTTGTGGAATAATTTTGGGAAAAGAAATGCGAATACAGTCGTTTATCCGAAAGTCGGTTATCCAAAACGTCAGTTATCCGAAAGAATTCCAGTTGGCAAATTTAAATTTTTGCTAGTGCTGTGGTGCTGCAATCTCTGGCTATATCTTGGGCTACTCCAATATTTTTTTGTTGGTGTGTGTGTTTTAGCTGGCAGCACTGGCACTTTTGTGTGGTGTTTTTCTGAGGACTGTGTGTCATGCTGAATGGAATGTTTTTGATACTAGATTAACTTCTGAAGTATAATTTTTTTTGTTTTTATATTTTTAATATATTTATTTTGTTTGTAAGAAATAAAAAAATAATTTTTAACGATACAATAGCCATGATTATTATTTGAAAAAGTTTACGTTAGGCTTAACATCGACAAAAATTCAACACAAAGAGACACACAACGGAGAAAAATTTTGACATGGGATAGGTTAATATATTTTTTTTTGTACATAATCAGTTATCCGAACAACCCCAGTCCCCAATTGATTCGGATAAATAACACTCTACTGTATAGTAGTATAGACATTGGTAACAGAAAGTTCATCTGAAAAAGTTAGTTACTACATTAAACCAGCACATTTGCAAATATGCTCATGATGTGACATGTATAATATCCAGTTTATACTTGATTTTGACCCATGCCAAGCAAACATGCTAGGAGTCATGTTGTCAATTGCATCTGCAATTCTTCTATGTGAAGGCTCTAATGTCTGGCACTTTTATAGCATACATGCAATCCTTGACATGCCCACAAAAAAGTTTAAAGAGATGATATTGAGCAATCACGTGGACCAGGAAATAGAACCCAAGCAATCTAGACCATTTGGCAGTGAAGGTCCAGATTACCACATTGCGACAGCAATGGCCCTTTTGAGTGTACACGTAAAATTTGAAGTATTGACCAACATTCTCCAACATATTTTTTTCACATATCTAAGCAAAAGGATTTTACAGAACAGTTTAAAACTGAGATGTTTGAGGGACACTCCCTACATTTGTTTTTGAATATACAGTAATAACTCAGTTTTCGTTGACTTCGGTTATCATCAATTTTTTTTCGTAAAAAATTTGTCTCGGTTTTCCTTGGTTGCCTCGGATTTCATTGGCATGCCCATATGACCTCACTGGTAATTTTGCGAAAACAAAGGGCAACCCACACTTTTTCCTGCTCAGTGTGGCGTTGTTTCTCATTGTGTACCTCCCCCCTATTATGTTCGATGCTTTTCTTGGTGAGAACTTTGGGCAAACTAGCAGTTATGCTTATGCTGATGATGTCTTCTTGCTGCTAGGGGGCCGGTCTAGGTCTGACCTCGAGGGTAATGCCAACAACATGCTTCAGCATGTTAGCAATTGGGGTGTAAAGCATAAGTTATATTTCAATCCTGTTAAAACCAAAGCAATAGTGTTTAATAAATCAGGTCATCCCAATCTGTATCGACGTCCTCTGCACATCAAGATGCAGGGCAATACAATTAAAGTGGATCAGACCCTAAAATATCTTGGGGTTATTTTGGACTTCCGCCTGTCCTGGGATAGGCATATTGACTACATTACAAGCAAGACTGGATTAGTTATGCAGTCTTTTTCGCAGGTGGCCCAGAGAGACTGGGGCCTCTCTAGCAACACTGTCTATAATTTATGACAGTATCTACATACCAGTGATTACCTATGCGTGTGGCACTTGGGGGTGGGCCACACGCAAAGTTCATGCTAAAAGAAAGCTCCCAGCATCGTGCCTTATTACTCATCACAAGAGCATGTAGGACAACTAGTAATAGTTCCCTCAAAGTCCTGGCAAAAAAGCCACCTATAGACCTTTCTATCCTACAAAAGCGACGACTTCAACAATTAAAATGGGAAGGGACAGTAGAGATTACTTCATGCACCACTAATTATAATGACATCGAGTGGCCTTCCTCTTTTAAAGAAACTCGCTCACCAGGAGAAACTTCTGTATGCAAATTTACCAGTTCTGAGAATGCCGATATACACGTATTCACGGACGGCTCTCATATCAATGATAATGTTGGGAGTAGTTTTGTCTAGTGATGTAACGAATATTCGGTTNATATATATATATATATATATATATATAGTCAAACCTCCGAACAACGGCCAATGTTTTTAGGTGGCCGTTATTGGAGGTTTCACTGTATTTATTTATAGTTTACGTGTAATTGATGAAAATATTAAAAATCAAAAAATGCAATCAGGTAATGTAAATGTACAAAACAATAAATGCTCTAGAAAATGTTTTGAAGAAGTAAATTTCATAAATTTTAGGTTTAATTTAGTTTAAATTAATTAATAAAATAATTAATTACTAGAATATGACAATGTAACACGTGGGTGATCTACCAGGGAATACCCTCCCAGAAAGACTTTCTATGGGAAACTGTAACCTATTTAGTTGTGAGACAAGTAAAGAAAACTCGAAAACGTCACATAACCGGCTGCTGTTCATGCGTGAACTCGCAACCAACTGGTCACGGGTTCGCATCTGACCAACAGGCTAGCTGGCTGCTAGTGTTCAGTGGTTTTATACAATCCGCTAAGAATTAAGAAAACAATCGGTCTTTGTTCAATCTGACGATCAGTCTTCAATAAAAATTCCATAAAAAATACGAATAAGATTGACTGATTAATACGAACTAACAATACAATATTCTCTGTATGGTGATTCCAGTCCAATTCCTCCCCGCACTGTAGTAGATTATGGGAGACTGAATCAGAGTTATTTATGGCTGTGGTTATTACCTTACCGACCGCCTAACGTACCATTAAGAATTCTATTTCCATTTTTCTGTAGCACCACACGAGAGGACCGAAAAGATCACAAATGCTAGAATAAGAATTTTAAAAGACCTAATCATATCATAAGAAAGACAGCTTTCGGCTAAGGATGTTATTCGAAAAGTTCTGGCTGAGTAATAAACTTTATAAAAAAAAAAAAGAAAATTCAAAATGATAAGTTTGTTGTTTACTGTAAGTTATGGCAACGCAGCACTTAGGCGATCTGCCTAGGGGGAATGCTTTCCGAGAGGTCTTTTTAAGGGAAAATAAGGCGTTACAGACGTGTGGAAAACCCGGAAAACTCCACGTGGCGAACCCGTCCGTGCGAGGCGCTGAACCCACGACCGAACTCCCAGTGTTCAGGGAACGAAGACCGCTTGGCCACTAGTGGGCCAAAATGATGAGTGAAGTAGAATGATGCTATAAGAAGACAAACTATAGTAGAAGTGAAATTCGCAAAACTAAAATTCAAGATATGGAGTTTCTCGGTTCGTCTTCTACAAACCCTCCCATAAGGAGAACGCCATGAGTATAGGATAAAAATGTTCTATTACAATCCCATTTGTAAATTATGATAATAATTGGCTTTATTCCACTTTTAGTGGGTCAGGTGTTGCAAGATAAGATGCCAGTCTATCTCTATGAGAGATATGGATTTGAAATCGATACCGAACCGTATTTATTATAGGTAATGAGTCGAAAATGTTTCCATCCTTCACACCCATTCCATACATAATTGAAGTAATTGTGACTGGCTGTATAGAACTTAAAAAGTATTTTTCTGTTATAAATATCCTTTACTCTTAGAAATGGTAATTAATTTCATTTCATAAAATTAATATTAGTTAACTATTTTAAATTATTTCTCTTTCAGATACATAAAATATGTTTGGTCTTTTCATATGGTACCAGAACACGAAGTACTCCACACTGCAAAGTGTCAGGCGGGTCTACAGGTAATTAAAATAATTACTAAATATTTTTATGTACATAAATTAATAACATGGAAGGTTGTCAGTTAATTTTGGACCTTTTTTATTGTAGTTCTTCCACCACCGATTATGTTCTATACGTGCCCTTGAGCCGGAACTTTGTAGTTTCCTAAAATAGTTTACGCAAATTATAATTAATTTTTTAATTTTTAAACTGTTTTCCGAATTGCATTACAAATGATGTTTTTAATTTAAAATTTTACTTATCATATACACAGATAATTACCAGAGAAATGCGTAAATACAACAATCTTGAACTTGAGATCGAATACAATATGCATAAGCTGAAATTTTGGAAAAATCGAAAGAAATACGGCACTGTACTAAAATGCAGATGGCACTTAAAATTTTATAGGATTTTATAAGATTAATTAATGTAAAAATTTTAAAAAATTTTTGTACAGTAAAACCTGTCCAAAACCTGAATGAAAAGGAAACCTGCCTAAATGGACCGATTTTTTATATTTTAAAAATCCTGTTCAAAACGTGAAACCTGCCAAACCGGAAAAAAATATTCGTTACCGCGCGATCCCGGTTTACTCAGGTTTTACTGTATTTTGAGGTATGTAGGGATATCTCTATAATAATGAAGTGATTTATAATTTTAAAGAAACCTATCTTTAATAAATACTTTTATCATTAGGTAACATTACTTTGGGGTGCTTGGATCGAAGGATATATCACAGCTATTAGTCGAGTAGTTGCACTAGAATCTGTTAACTGGACTCCACTAACATCAGCTGTAGCCAATTCAATAACAACCGTAGCATTAGTTCTGTGGGGTAAGTTTAGTACTTTAATCTTATATTATGGTGATTCTTAGAGTAGTTCAACCAAAATCACGTGATAGTAAGTGATAATTAATGTTCCAAACCGTTCTCTCTTGTTGGTGGGATGTATTCCGAACATTTTGGTGAACACTTTTTGCCACAAATTCTCAATTGGATTAAATCCGGAGACTGAATTGGCCAATCCAGTTGTACTCCTGGAACCACTTCTTCACAAATTTTGATCGATAGCAGGGAGCATTGTAATCCACGAAGGCCTCAAAGAGAGACAAATCTTGAACACTTAATTGCATTTTCTTGTTCAGTATTTAGCGGAATTTAGGGTCATTTATCATCTCTTGAACGATCTGCAGCCTCCCAACGCCGTTTGCAGCCATACACGACCACACTATTATTGAAGTTAGGTGGTTTATTATATGGGCTGTACTGTACTGTACACTGTGGCTTGAACTCTTCTCCCGAATATCCTCTAACGTAGACAGACGTGGAATTAGCCGCAATTGGGAACGTCGACCGGTCACTAAAAAAGTATTTTTTCCTTACTGTTAGAGAGACCTTTGGCAGTAATCTTTAGTACAGACTAAAATTCATTTTTCTGAACTATCGATAGCAGCGGTTTCCTTTTAGCTTTAAACACACGCAATCCGACTTTGAGCAATGTGTGGCGCTCATCCTTTGCTGATTGGGGAACCAAGTGCTAATGAGTACTTGGGGTCTCAATCAGCCAAGTGCCGCGTCCCACGCGACCATCAGCAAGGAATGAGCACTTGGGCGACTGGACCGTGGTTTTTGAGCGTTTTCTATAGTTTTGTCTCATGATTGTTCTTTTAACCATAGTTTTAATTTACAAGTGAAAATTTGGATGATTTTCGTCAGTAAAATGGTCAAGGCAAAGTGTTTTGTCACAATGAAAAAACAATAAAAAAAAAGCAAGTTATTGTTTGCAGTCAGCCATTTTTGTATCGTATATTAGCTGGAAGACGTTTTCAAAGATTCGAAGTCATTTTCATCTCCATTTTCTGAAACATGGTTATTGAACGTCACTCTTCAAGCATTTGATCAACATGGATTAATCGACAGTATCTTTTCAAAGAGTAGAAAAGAGAAAGCCAGTTTGGCTTTCTCTTCTTTTTCTTTGCTGTCTCTTCTTTTTTTCTGACAAATGACGTGCATTGACAAATTGATTTTGCCTCCATCTAGGTCATTTTCAAAATTAAACTTTTAGACACTTGATAAAAACCTGGGAAACCCTACTTGGCCAACTGGTTGCTCAGTGTTAGAACCTGCAGCCATCTACCAGTGGTTTCAGCCACTCGGCCACTGACTAGCAAAATATTAGACTTTTATTATGTAAGCTATATTTGGTTTCCTGTAGGTAACATCGCTTTCATATATTAGAATTACAATATGACAAATATTTACACAACTTTATACGATTTTCATATAACTCCCCTTTATAACACAAATAATAATACTAAATTTTATCTCGTGTGTGCAAAAATTAGAATAAAGTGCTAAATATATTCACATAAAATAAAGAAAAATTGCCGATGGACAATTAAATTTTATATTTAATTGGTCCATCAGCACCTTTGTCGGCAGAGTTTCCTTAGGACAAGTAGATTCTTCCATCACATGGTGGGTCAGAACACACAACTAAAATAAGAAATGAGTACAGAACGAGGACACTAGACCCTCGGATATATCACAAGCCCCGTCCCCTCACCACCTCCACTGTGGGCCTGGCCGAACCCACGAGCTCACAGGGCAAAGAGAATTATGCTACTCCTCAAGCTAAGTACAAGGAATTGCAATGAAATAATTAAATTAATAATTAAAATATTCCATTTAATCAGTAAATGACTAGGAACAAAAAAAGTCTGGTAACTTAGAAACTTAGAGATGCAATCAGGCCTATACAGTACATTCATTTGATTAGCCTATTATTATTATTATTTATAACTCTTTGATGGATGTTTTCGTGAAATGTACATTAAGGAAAAACGTTATTTAATTATAAAACTTTTTATTTCAGCTCTCAATACTACAGGTGGCTTCTTCAATCCCATTTTAGCATCGGCATTAACATTGGGATGTTCTGGTAATACGCACTTTGAACATTTTATGGTCTATTGGTTAGGAGCTTTATTCGGAGGATGTGTTGGGAGATATATTCACACTTTTCTCGAAAGAAGAAGAAAATATAAGTTCGATTAATTTAAGGACAATAAAGAAATTACTAAAATAATCCGAGAAGTTGGTTAGTAATTACAATTTAAAAAATCTTTCGTTCGTATTGTACTTTATAAACTGTTACATTTTAATACAAATATTGATTTAAATTTTTTTTTCAGTATGCCTTCAAGAAACAGTATTTTGAAAACTCTATATTGTTTCAATTATTTATTAAAAATTCAATGTCTTCCTTCTACCAATAAAATGCTGAAAAACATTAGTAATAAAATTGTATTATAATAATATTTTCTGTATTAATAAAAATTTTAAATTAAGAAAATCAAAATTTTATATTTCATTATTTTTGTTTCTATTTTTGAATCTCTTTCCTATGGGCAGTAATGGGGTTTTTCTTCCAGGATCATCGTGAGTTTCATCATTCCATACCCTGGCCGAACCCATAATGGGGGCCGGATGGTAGGTACCTGACGTGCCCGGGAGGTCGCCCACAAAATGTTCCTGGGTTCTCCACATGAATTAAATTCCTTGTTCCCAGAGTGGTATACTGGCGCCAAAACGGCCATCATCATCCAGTCACGCTCGTCATATCAGGGTCCCACAATTCTTTCGGCAGGAAGCCAAAGAATTATAGGGCTTATTATGTTGCTTGTTCATGGAACTTATCAGGCATTTCCTCAAATGAACCAATGTAAAACTGAATGACAATCTGCATTATTGAATTTTTCCATCCGCTGTTCTATGGTGCTGTTTTACCGTGTACAACAGCACGATAACTGAAAAGAGGAGGCGATCCGAGTCAAGATGACGTTGGGCAGTCTGATACTCTCCATGAACAAGTGAATTTCTGGGAATTCGGCGCAAACTTTCAAACCTTTCACGTGGGCCACCCTGTAACATGTAAATAACGCAAAACATTAAAGTAATATAAAGTTTCATTGTAAACAAACAAAATTTGTTTATTTGGATCCAATTTGTAATCAGCTCTGGAGTATACACAAATCTGTATTCAAATTCCATAATGAATAATCAATCAAAAGTTTATCAGTAAGAAAATTTTTAAAGTAAAATGACTGCTAATTCTTGATTTATGGGGCTGTGGATATGTGCAAAACGAGCCAAAAGAGAAAAGAATGCAATCAATTCCAAAGGTAACTACCACGAATTCTGACTGTAAATCTGAAAGCAAACTCTTTCTTTAGTATTCTGAGAGCATCATATTATTTCTTTACTTAGAATGTTACTTATACAGTAAAGTAGTAATATTGAATATTTTAATTTATAAATACTATCAGAAAGTTCATTTAAATACTTAAAATATCTTTTGTTGTTCCTACAGAACAAGAAATTCATATATAGTATTTGTAAAAAAAAAAGTTTTCCAGTTCTTAGCTAAATGTTTTAAATAATCAACCCATTGTAACTTGTATTCTCTACTAGAATCATTTAATATTAACAAAAACTTTCAATCTACACAAAATTTACTCTTTACAAATGGTTTAAAATAATGTTAAATACAAAATATTACAGTAACAATGACAACATGAAGCTAATTTAAGCTGAAAATTGTTAGAGTCCATCAAAATACTTAATTCAAATGTTTCAAATAGAAAATTAATATGAATTTATTTAAAACTGTTTAACAGAATTGAATTATAAGCTCATTTCTTCTGTAATTTTCAATGAAATTACCTTTGTTATTAATAAATTTAGAAACTAGAATTTATTATTAATTAATAAATCTTTATTACAACAAAAAAAATTACAAGTAAATTGATAAATTTTATTTTATAGAAGGATTTATTTAAAATTGTATTTAATTTTTAAAAAATGAATAAAACTATTGATAAAACAGTTATAAATATATTATGACCCATTATGACCAATTCAAAAATTTTTCAGTCTTAATACAATATGTGGTATTAATTGTTGTTCAATCTTCTGAATTAAACTCTTCCATTGACTTCCATTTTTAAGTGTTTTGTAGCAACATTAACACACTTCAGTAACTTTAAAAATACAATATATTATAAAAACATATCAATAAATAAAAGCTGATAAAAATTAATAAATTTTAAAAAAATGTATTATTAAGATATTAGCAGTGATGCTAATTAATTTCATGGATGGCCAGATAGCCAAGCAATCAAGGTGGCAGCATACTGCTGTGGGGGGACCCAAGCTTGAATCTGGACACACAAAATAAACTAAGGAATTTTTCAGGGAATGGTCTGTCTGGTTATGCCAGGTCCTTGTTCCTCACAGCCAGTTGCCTGTTGTGGTCCTGGCTGAACCCATATTGGGCTTGCTAAAAAGATCCTCTTAATGCCTGTAGGACTGAGAGTTGAGGGGAAAACTACTTTCATGACATATTTTCTAGTCTTCAGGCTTATATGAATATTTTATGCTTGTTATGCTTGAACGTGGTTAGGGAAGGTCTCTGAAAGTATGATGTCATCTTCTTGTATTTTGGTATCTGCTTCATTTTTACATTAATACAAATTTAAACATAAAATTAACAAAAAATATTTAAAATAGTGTTTATATTTTATATATAAATTTATACATATGTTTAATATGCCCTACTCAAATTGCAAATACACTCTACTATTTATGACAATTAAACATAACCTACAGCAAAACTGGAAAAACTGGTCAAGAAAGCTGCTTGTTGCTAAATTCAGCCATGCTGAAGTGGAAGCTGCATGCATCTATGTAGTAATTTTACAACACCAAATGCTACAGCATTTCAGATGAGCTTTCTATTACCTAGAAGGTCATATAAAATCATTTCTATAATGATAAAATTTCTATATAAATTCAGGGTGTTACTCTCAAACATCCCTAGTTTTGTGGAATAATTTTGGGAAAAGAAATGCGAATACAGTCGTTTATCCGAAAGTCGGTTATCCAAAACGTCAGTTATCCGAAAGAATTCCAGTTGGCAAATTTAAATTTTTGCTAGTGCTGTGGTGCTGCAATCTCTGGCTATATCTTGGGCTACTCCAATATTTTTTTGTTGGTGTGTGTGTTTTAGCTGGCAGCACTGGCACTTTTGTGTGGTGTTTTTCTGAGGACTGTGTGTCATGCTGAATGGAATGTTTTTGATACTAGATTAACTTCTGAAGTATAATTTTTTTTGTTTTTATATTTTTAATATATTTATTTTGTTTGTAAGAAATAAAAAAATAATTTTTAACGATACAATAGCCATGATTATTATTTGAAAAAGTTTACGTTAGGCTTAACATCGACAAAAATTCAACACAAAGAGACACACAACGGAGAAAAATTTTGACATGGGATAGGTTAATATATTTTTTTTTGTACATAATCAGTTATCCGAACAACCCCAGTCCCCAATTGATTCGGATAAATAACACTCTACTGTATAGTAGTATAGACATTGGTAACAGAAAGTTCATCTGAAAAAGTTAGTTACTACATTAAACCAGCACATTTGCAAATATGCTCATGATGTGACATGTATAATATCCAGTTTATACTTGATTTTGACCCATGCCAAGCAAACATGCTAGGAGTCATGTTGTCAATTGCATCTGCAATTCTTCTATGTGAAGGCTCTAATGTCTGGCACTTTTATAGCATACATGCAATCCTTGACATGCCCACAAAAAAGTTTAAAGAGATGATATTGAGCAATCACGTGGACCAGGAAATAGAACCCAAGCAATCTAGACCATTTGGCAGTGAAGGTCCAGATTACCACATTGCGACAGCAATGGCCCTTTTGAGTGTACACGTAAAATTTGAAGTATTGACCAACATTCTCCAACATATTTTTTTCACATATCTAAGCAAAAGGATTTTACAGAACAGTTTAAAACTGAGATGTTTGAGGGACACTCCCTACATTTGTTTTTGAATATACAGTAATAACTCAGTTTTTGTTGACTTCGGTTATCATCAATTTTTTTTCGTAAAAAATTTGTCTCGGTTTTCCTTGGTTGCCTCGGATTTCATTGGCATGCCCATACGACCTCACTGGTAATTTTGCGAAAACAAAGGGCAACCCACACTTTTTCCTGCTCAGTGTGGCGTTGTTTCTCATTGTGTACCTCCCCCCTATTATGTTCGATGCTTTTCTTGGTGAGAACTTTGGGCAAACTAGCAGTTATGCTTATGCTGATGATGTCTTCTTGCTGCTAGGGGGCCGGTCTAGGTCTGACCTCGAGGGTAATGCCAACAACATGCTTCAGCATGTTAGCAATTGGGGTGTAAAGCATAAGTTATATTTCAATCCTGTTAAAACCAAAGCAATAGTGTTTAATAAATCAGGTCATCCCAATCTGTATCGACGTCCTCTGCACATCAAGATGCAGGGCAATACAATTAAAGTGGATCAGACCCTAAAATATCTTGGGGTTATTTTGGACTTCCGCCTGTCCTGGGATAGGCATATTGACTACATTACAAACAAGACTGGATTAGTTATGCAGTCTTTTTCGCAGGTGGCCCGGAGAGACTGGGGCCTCTCTAGTGACGCTATGTCTATAATTTATGATAGTATCTACATACCAGTGATTACCTACGCGTGTGGCACTTGGGGGTGGGCCACACACAAAGTTCATGCTAAAAGAAAGCTCGTCTCCTTCCAGCGTCGTGCCTTATTACTCATCACAAGAGCATATAGAACAACTAGTAATAGTTCCCTCCAAGTCCTGGCAAAAAAGCCACCTATAGACCTTTCTATCCTACAAAAGCGACGACTTCGACAATTAAAATGGGGAGGGACAGTAGAGATTACTTCGTGCACCAT